AGCAGGCCAAAAGCACCCGCAGGATGCCGGGTGAAGGTGGAGCTTGGGAAACCAGACCCACAGTGCACAGAGGAACCTAGGGGACACACACTGTCCTCAGCTCCTGCTTATGGACACCCCCAGGAAACACCCCAGGGTCTGAAAGCTCCACCGGGCCAGCACAGTCCAGAAGAGCACTGAGTTGTGATAGGGCTGGGGGAGGGGAGAGATCCACTTTGGGATGATGTGGAGCTAGAATATGAAGGGAACATGAGATCTTCCATGGCGCCTAGAAGGCTGGGAGCAGATGTGCCCTTCTCGGCCTACAAAGCCCCCAGGGTGGGCTCTGGCGGGTAGAGATCTCAGGATTGTTGCTGAAGGCGCCTCAGCCCGAAGGCTGCAGGGTGGAATCCAGACTTTGGGAGTGGGCGGAGCCACACCCCGCACACCTCCGCTATGCTTGTGTCCACCTGCCCGACGCACAGAGGCAAGTTTTCAGGTGTCTGGTCTGGTATGAGGAAGAAGGACACACTCCGTTCTAGAACTGGGGGTAATGAATCTGCCTCTACGGCATCGCTTTTCCCCAAGGGCATAGCTTTCCATCATGCGTCTTTCGACAAGCTAATTAATGTTCATTGCAGACAGCGGACGTAAGAGGAAAACAGCCTTCCATTACAGAAAGACAGATTTGAGTGAGGCCAAGGAAAATGTGTCTCCTGTTCCAAATTAAATTGGGAATAGGTGAATTAGAAACCCTGCCCAGGGCCTGCCACCCTGAGGCTTTGCCAGCGTCTGCACAGGAGGCTAGGAAACATCTTTCTAGGAGATGTTGAGCAACGAAATAAAAGCTCATCTGGACTCCTGCCTGGTGCCCTTTCCCTGCAATATCAAGTTGGCATCCTGCCTCGCACCTGATTCCTCTTTCCAGTGTATGTGTGTGCGTGTGTGCGTGCGTGTGTGTGTGTGTGTGTGCGCGTGCGTGCGTGCGTGTCAGACAGAGACAGAGATTGAGAGGGAGGGAGGGCCCACGAGTGAGAGCAGAAGTTCAGGACATGTGGTGGCACAAGGAGTTCAACGTGTTCCCCAGGCCTCCAGGCTCCCACCTGCACCCCACCCCACCAGGACATTTGACCCCCAACTGTCACCTAGGGAGACCGTGGTAATCACGGGCTAGAGCCTGGGCTGTCAATCACTGAGGGTGGAGAGGAGGGGTGAAAAAGGTTACACTCACAAGAAATAATCAGTGGTCAGTGACTCTGATGCTAGAGAGTTTCCAGGGCACTCAGGTAGAATGGTTGCATTTCAGAAAAAAACCCATGCTTGGCCCTAGAGACAGCTGATCCAGGAAGGCCAAGAGTCAGGCCAAGGTTAGGCAGATGCTAACACAAGGACCACGTGCTGCCATCTGGCACTCCGTAGGGGTGTGTCCACCAAGACAGGGGCAGAGTTCACACAAGCTTGCCTCTCACCCATCCGCTCCCTACGCCTGAAGCTTGAACCGGAGGCGAATAAAGACGCCCAATCCCAAGTCTCCGTGAGAGTGCAGGAGGCTCCAAGGGCAAACGCAGACATAACGCAACCCACTTGGCTTCTGCTCCTCTGCATGGGAGCCTGGGGGCTCTGGGATGGGGCGTGAGTGAGGACTAGGAGGATGACAAGAGGGAGGAGAGGGGCTGAACCTACTGAAATTCAGGACCACAAACTAAAAACTCTTCCTCAAGCCCCTGTGAGAGCTACAGCTCTCAGGTGTCTGAAGTCTCTGACCTTTTGAGCCGTCACTCTGAGGCTCAGGGACTCCAGGATGAACAGGCAGGGCTGCCTCCCACGCAGTATTGCCAAAACCCAGGGACATCCGTGGGGTGTCTGGGCAGATCACCGCAGAGAGGCTACTCCAGGACATCTGCTCAGCCACCCTCTGTCCTCAGACCTCCCTCCTAGTGGGCCACCAACGCAGCTCTCCTCTCTCCTCCTACCAGGAAGTCTTCTGAGTCCGAGGGCATCCCCCATTCATGTTTACTGAGCCCCTACTGTGTGCCAGGCCCTCTGCGAGCGGCTGGAAACAGAGACTCTGGTGAGACAGACACGCACAGCAGCCTGGTCCTAAGTGCTGGGACGGAGGTGTGAACAAGGCGTGCCGGAGCACAGAAGGCTCCCTGGAACAGGCGACACTGGAACAGGGTCCTCAGTGATCAGTGGAAGATTGCCAGGCACAACAGGGAAAGGACACGCTAGGCAGAGGGAACAGTATGTGCAGACACAGAGGCAAGAAAGAACAGGGTAGGTTTGGGAAACATACATGGTTAGTGTGACTGGACCACAGGCACACAGGGACGGTGGCAGCAAAGAGCCCAGACAAAGAGGGAGGCAGGACCTGACCCATTGGGTTAAGGGGCCTGCCAAGGCGTTGGGACTTGACTAGGCAGTGACAGGGAGGTAGGTTAGGCCCTGAGGAGGAGAGTGGTACAGCAGAGTGGTACTTTAGAAAGGTCACTGAGGCCCAGGGTTGAGGATGGGCGGAGGAGCGAGACACTGGAGACTAGGGCAGGGGGAGCAGGCGGGAGGCTCTTCCCACAGACCAGGCAGCGGCACAGCAGTAGGGGGACGAGAAGGACAAAGACCCATTGCAGGGATTTTAAGAGGTAGGAATGACAGGTCAGCTGTCACCATTTGGACATGGGGTTGGTTCCCTCTAGGGAGGGATCGAGGCTGACTCCCAGGTTTCTGGCTCAGGTGACCGGGTGAAAGGGGACAGAGAATTCCGGGCACAGGTTGGGCAGGTGGAGAGACCAATAGGTAGCTGCAGATTCATGTTAGGAGAGAGGTGAGAGTGGGAGACACAAATGCGGAACCATCGACGTTGAGCTGGGAGTCCACGCGCGAGAGGAGGTAGGAATGGGCGTGGGCGGAGCTCTCGCTCCCACCTCAGCCGCACTGCAGGCAGCCACAAAAAAACAGCACAGCCTTAGGGTGCCCCAACCCCCTCACTCCACAAAAAGGAGCTAAAACTCAGGTCCCTGGTGTTTCCTGGGCCAGGGGCAGCGCAGGAGGATGCTCCCACCAGCAGCTCACACTTCTGAAATAACCCCATGTGGGCACTGTCCTTAAGGAAGCCCCGGGCCAAACAACCAGTGCCCCAAAAGGCTGAGGAAGGGCCGGCATCTGCTGGCTCTCAGGCCAGGCTGCTGGGTCAGCATGGAAAGCTGAGGCCACTCAGCAGCCGTGTGAGGGGAGCCACGTGGACATGGGAACCACAGAGGTGCCCAGGGCCTGCAGGCCAAGGACTGGTCAGCAAGGGAGGCTCAGCCTCGGTTGGTCTCCAGACCCCCTTGGCACAGCGGCCGGGCTGCCTGCCTTCTCCTTGGGACGCCCGGCTGGGAGCCCGCACGCTCAAGGTGGAAGGTTCAAGTGATGGGGAGGGGCTGCCTCAGGGTCCCCACAAAGCACGGGGCATCTGCCCAGGTGTCTATGGCATTCCTTGAGTTGTCTATACTTTTCTAGGGGGTACTGAGGGAAGAAGGAGTGGGAACCATATGTCCCCACCCTACTTTCCTGGTGACCTGATGTCCTGGGGATTTACCCAGTCAGGACCCTGGGACAACCAGCCCTGTCCCCTCCCCTCAGCCCTGCGCAAAGGCCGACCGGTCCCAGGGCCCGAGAGCCTGCAGCCGTGCCCACACGGGACCGGGCAGGCAGGAGGCGGCTCAGGAGCTTTTTTTCTGGTTGTTTTATTTGAAAACCCTGGGATGTGTCCCCTCCCTCACCGCACCCACCCCACCCCTGCCCCAGGACATGACGAAGCCACACGCACACACAAGGCCGTGAGCTGCACACAGGAACACAGGGGCTGCGCTCACGACAACATTGAAAAAATATACATTATATATAATACACCCAGGGCCCCACTCCCCTCTCGTGCCCACAACCTAGCCACACCCGTCCCGGTCCCCCGGGGAAGGGGTGGGGGCTGTGGGACCTCAGGACCGCAAGGGCAGGAGGGGAAAGAGGACATGAAGGCAGGAAAGGGGAAAGGTGGAGAAGCAGGGATCCCCAGAGTGACGTGGAAACAGGTGGGGATCACAAGAGAAGCAGGGAGGACCCAGCCAAGGAAGGCGGTGGGGGTGGGAGAGGGGGAGTAGAGGCTGTCCCTCCATCCCACCCCAGCCCAGCCATTGCTACTGACACCCGAAGGGTGCGCGCCAAGGGGGTGGCTGCCGTGGGGGGCAGAAAGGGCAGCTGGAGTTGTGCAGCCGCTCTCCCACCGGCCAGGTGCCAGGGCCGGGACAGCCGGCGCTGAGGGCAGCGGTGGGCCGGGCGCAGGGGCAGACTCCGGTGGGGCCTGTGGGGGTGTGAGATGAAGGGTGACCCTAGTGAAGCGCTTTCTCCCTCTTGGTCTCTCTTCTCTCAGATGTCCTCCCTTTTCTGGAGTGTCTCTGTCTCCCCTTCTCCCTCCGTGCGGGGAGGTGTAGGCCTTAGTAGCGGTGTGGGGGGGTCTCGATGATGCGCCTCTCGTCACTGCTGGGGGAGTCGGCTGCCTCCGAGTCACTGCTGTCCTCGTCCTCCTGCTGGCCACCGGCAGCCCCCGCCATGCTGGCCTGCCGGCTCTGATAGGACTAGAGGCCCCGACAGGGAGGAGGCGGCTCAGCGGCCTCTTGCTGGAGCCGCGCCCCCCTGTCCAGCACTCCCTCCCCACTGCCGCCCTCGCAGCTCTGCTCTGAACCCCGGCTCAGGGCCGGCCCCCGTTAGGGGTCCCGTTGTGCACGGTCCGGCTCAGTCTGGACCCTGTGGACCTCCCCGTCCCCCAGGGCCACTCACCTCCATGGGGTTCACGATGATGGTGAGAGCTGAGTCATCCCAGAAGAGGTCCGGGTCCTTGGGGTCACTGGAGGCCCCCGGGGGCCCGTCGGCCCCTGAGACGCGGCGGTGGAGGGAGTGGATGCGCACGAGGCCCAGGATGACCATGAGCACCAGGAAGCCCACGCACACCACGATGATGAGAGTCGCGGCACTCGGGACCACTGCGGGGGAGCGTGGTGGTGAGGGGTGGCCAGGCACACCTGGGGGCACTCGGACACTGACAGCGGGGCTGGGGGAGGAGGCAGCCCAGGCAGGGCATCCCAGAGTAGGACAGGGCAGACCCATGGTGGTCTAGAAGAGGGGCACACCCTGAGGAACTGCGAGAGAAACAGACCCACTGGGAAGGCAGGAGACGAGAGGGGGAGGGGAGCAGAGTGGCCGCTGCTCCAGCCAAAGGGCCGCACCAAGGGAAGCAGATGTGAAAAGGGAGGCAAGGGCAGTGGAGCAGAAAGGCTCCAGCCCAGTGCTCTCAGGAACAGCCCTGTCCTCAGAGGACAGAGGGCAAGCACTGGAATCGCACCTCCCATTCTGCCTGTGCCTTCCCCAGAGACGACTCAGCCTAGGAAAGAGGGGCCCAGTGCCCGGTGGGGCAAGGAGAGAGACCAGCAAACAGCTTAACTAGTGCAGGAGGAGAAGCAGCTCCAAGCCTAGCCTGGCTGCCAGGAAGAAGGTGCTAGCACCCAAGGGAGGGGACAGGCCCAAGGGGCAAGGGGCAGCCCCTTCACTTACCCACCTGGACTGAGCTCCTGCCTGCTCGGAGACACCTCCCTTCTCCTGGTGGGCTCAGAGCTCCTGGTCGTCAGGGGCTCCTGCTCCCCCCAAGTCTCCTCCTGAGGTGTACCTGTCTCCCCTTTTGCCCTCCTGTGCCTCTGGCCCCACAGCCTCACGCCCAGGCTCAGGGGGGCATGGAACCCGGAGAAGGGTGCATGCACCCTCACACGGACCTTCGAGCTGATGGTAGCAAAGCAGATGTGCATGCACAGGCATACGCCCAAGAAGACGGTGCGGGCACACAGCTGGACAAAGGTCGAGACACCCCATAACCGCGCCAGGCCTCTGCCGGCCCACACGCCAGCCCGCGCCAGCCACCAGGCAGCCTGCTCACACAGCAGGATTAAACGAATGCATCTGAGGGTTTCCAGCAAGGTACAGTAGAGCCAAATGTGCAGAGTCACCCAGTTCCCCACCAGCTGGGCACACAAGGCGACCCCCTGGAGAAAGACGTAAACACTACAGACGTGGGCCATGAGAGCCACAGAGCGTGCGGCCGCAAGCACAGCCCTGCCCAGCTGCTGCACACACACACACAGCACTCGGACACACATGAGGGGGCAGAGCCACAGAGCCCGCAGCCCCAGGGACAGCAGGTGGAGGCAGAGACCCCACACACGCACCCCCAGGCCCAGGGCCCTCACGGACAGCTGGGTCACTACACCCCACATGGGTGCACACTCCTGGCCACTGCGTGTGCACACAGCAGCTCGACCCTGGGCAGTCCTGTTGCTGAGGGGCTACACCACATATGTGGGCCCCAGACGCACAAGAGACCAGCAATCACACAGCAAGCCCCTAGGGCCACACATACACACATGAATATTACCATACAGCCCAGTCCCAAATTACCTACAGGCTGAGACTCACATGTCAAGGGACACAGCAGAGATTAGAGAAGCACACGGCCCAGGAGCCCACCACACGCCCTGCTGCGGACCGCCCCGCCCCGGCAGCCAGCACACTCAGCTGCCGCATGCTCCAGGGCTAACCAGGTATGTGGGAAAGGCCCTGCCTGGGCAGCCCGTCAGCCGCACACCTCCCTGAGGCCACCCTGATGGCTCTCTGCCAAGTTGGTCCCCAACCTGACCCGACCCATTGCCCACTTGGGGCCAGGCGCCAGTCAGAGCAGGCTGTGCCAGGGCAGGCCAGCAGGCTCCCTGGGCACTGGCTCCAAGGAGAAGATGGGCTGGCTGGATCGGTATTTCCCAACTGCCTGGGTTAGTGGAGGAGGGAAGAAGGAGACAGAGCGCCCTTTCTCCCCATCTGCAGGAAACAGGCCCTCCTAGGTCTCCACATCCACAGACAAGACCCCACTGGCAGGCGGCCCCGTGGCTAAGCCCAGGCTCTAGAAGGAGTGCGACCCCCACTCAGAGTGGAGGCCAAAGCAGGTGAACTTGGGCACAGGATGACAAGCTAAAGCTTCTGGTTTGTGCCTTAATCAATGCAGGTTTCCCTCTGAGTCCCTGGCCTAATGAAGGAAATAACAAGTTGATTGCCAGGAGAATAAGAAATGACCACAAGAAAGACAAAATGCAGACATTCTATCTCTAGGCAAACATGTCTGGTTAATTAGTTTAAGATGAGCCAAGAGGCCAGGCAGATGGGGGGATTTTTTTAATTAGCTACAGACAAAAATAAAGAATTTAAAAAATACAATCAACTTTTCTTGCTACATTAGATCTGAGCTGTTAATTCTGGCCTTGAATGACCTCCAGAGCCAGCATTAAGGGGTAATTTAGCAAATGGCCCATTTGATTGTAAGGACACTGTTGGAAGCCCTGTCCACAGCCTGAATGGTGCCATCTGTATGAAGAACCTCAGGAGAGACTTCTTCCTGCTGTTAGTCCCAGGGCTCCTCTGACATATCAGTCGCCTCCTATCACGTGACTTTCATAACTGTTCAAGTTCCCTTTTGATTTAGCTACAAAGAAGCTCAGAGTCAAAATTCTGGCCCACTGTAGCAACAGCCTAGTGTCTCATAATATGCATTTTGTGAACTGGCTTTATTCCCTGGCTGCATCTTATTCTTCTTTCGTCGTTATCTTTTCCTTCTTACTTCCTAATTCATTTTCATTTTTATCCTATTGCATTGTAGGTCTTTCTGCAAAGTTCAGATACTTACAAGAAACAAAGTAGGGAAATGATTCCCAAACTTTGCTGCACATTAGAATCACATGGGGATTTTTATAAGCCACTGATACCTGACTCCCACCCCCAGACATTCTGACTTAATTGGTATGAGGTGTCATTTGGGCGTCAAGAGTTTTTAAAGCTCCTCAGGTGACTCTGGTCGACATGAAAGTTTAGGATGACTGGATAAGTAATGTCTTCATCATCTTGTCTCACCCTTCTCAGACCTTATTCTCCCTAACCATAAACACCCCCAACAACCCACCCACCCCAGTTTTCTCATGCCCATCCCAAATCCCTTCTACCCTTCAAGGCCCAAGCTCAGGCTCTTACATGTGCCACAAAACCTTCCCGGACTGTTCCGGTTCACAATGATCTCGCGTTTCTGGTGCACTCAGGAGCTTCAGAGAAATGAGCCTCCGTCCCAGTGGACGAGATCGGACCTCTTACTGCGTCTACATGTTTAGAGTAGTTTGATATTGTGTAACCATAATTCTGGTTTCTCTGGGGGATTGGGGGTGAATGGAAGGAACGCCTTGTGGAGTCAGAAAAGGTGTACAGAAGGGTGACGGCATCACCAATGCCCTCAGGGGAGCCATGAACTCAGAGCCCTACTCAGGCCACAGTAGGGGAAAGGCTGTCAAGTGCGTCTCAGAGGGAAGCTCGGTGGCCGGGACATGAGCTCAGAACAAAGGGTGGAAGGCTGGGCTTCGCCGTGAGGAGGGAAGCAAGGGTAGCGTTGCAAACACCACTCCTCCGGGGGCTGAGGGGTGAGGCACGCTGCCTGCCAGGCCAGCCAGGGCGGGAAGCTCTGGGGCAGTTAGAAGAACGCCCTCACCTGGGGCCTCATAGCAAAGCAAGTCAGGACTGAGACTGTCACCACGCCCAGCAGCACTCACAGCTACCTTGACCCTAACCCGAGTAGCGGGTCCCAGTGTCCAACCCAGAAAATAGTAAGTGAGATAATTCCCAAGGAAAGAATTGGAGAAAGAGCTAGGGAATCATGAGAAGAAAAAACATTTATATAGCTGGCTCAAAGAGTCTATTAAAGAAAAAAAAAATCTGATGCTTATTGAAGTTAACAAAATAAATAAATAAAACAGGTTTAGTTTGCTAACGTGTTTCTATGGACTACATATTGTGTGAAGCTTCTTTGAACCTCTGCAACTTGGTTATGCCTTAGACTCCCTCCGCAGCCTGACTTCCACCACTTTGCTGTAACAAATCACAGCAGAACACTTAACAGGGTCTCTGCAGCTGTTTTCAGAACAAGCAAGGAAGAAGGGAACGAGTCCCAGGGAAATACAAGGGACAGGGTAGGTGGTGACTGCCGATGGGGAGAGGAAAGCAGACTGGATCAATGGGGGAGCCAGGGGAGCTGGCCTCAGTCAAAGAAGCCCTGGAAGCCCCTCGGGAACTCCCCCAAATTAGGTGCAAATCTAAAGTAACGAGATTTTTTTTTTTAAGCAGCAAACACACAGTGAGAGGGTGGGGGGCCATGATTACTCCACAGACTCTGGAATCATGCTGCCTGGATTTAAGTCCTGATACTTTCTAGCTGTGTGACCTTGGGTTAGGTACTTGACCTCTCTGTGCCTCCATTTCCTTGCTTTAGGGCTAATTTTGTTTGTTGTTTGTAATGGCTAAATGAGTATGTGTATATCCTATCAGCATGGTGCCTGGCATAAAATGAGACCTCCCTGTGTTCATATTCCCTTTATTTCCATTACATATGTTGAAATGAGTGCTATATTTTCATACAGTGTTCAGAGACCATGAACTTCTTCCAAGAAAGCATTAGTGGAACTCCTTAGGGAACTGCCTCCAGAGCCTGTGACACAACCTTTTGACTTTTTTCAAAAGGGACAAATCTATAGCCTTTGTCAGTGGGCTTAATGTGTAAAAACTTTTAAAATGATATCCAGAGCCAACTCTGACAAAACTAGATGATGAAGTTGTGTAATACTGAACAGGGCCAAAAGCAAGGTGTGTCCAAAAAGTAACAAAAATAAATGCACTCATAAATTAGCTTTGAAAGCAATTCTATAAAGGAATTCCAAAAATCATTTCAGCAACATCAGCATCAGTTTGCAGTTTTTAATAATGTGGAAGAATACTTGTTTTAGAATATTAAGTGATGTTTACATCAGATTATAAAATTGTTTGATTGCAACTTTGTTAAAAGAAAAAAAAGGCATAGAAAAAAGACTGGAAAGTAATATACCATATTAACAGTGGTTTCCTCTATATGATGGAATTATTGCTGATTTTTCTTTTTTTTTTTACTTGTATTTTCTAGTTTTTCTACAGTTAAGCAACTCTTAAGTAAAAAATAAAGGCCAGGTGTGGTGACTCAAGCCTGTAATCCTAGCACTCTGGGAGGCCGAGATAGGAGGATCACTTGAGCCCAGGAGTTGGAGACCAGCCTGAGCAAGAGTGAAACCCAGTCTACTAAAATTAGGAAAATTAGCCAGGCATGGTGCTGCATACCTGTAGTCCCCATTACTCAGGAGGTTGAGGCAAGAGGATCCCTTGAGCCCAGGAGTTTGAGGTTGCAGTGAACTACTATGATGCCATTGCACTCTACCCAGGGTGACAGAGTGAGACTCTGTCTCAAAAAAGTAAAAAATAAAGTGGAAAATAAAAATTGTGCCACTGGTAAAGGACTATGGCCAGGGAACAAGATCATTTTGAAAGGAGCACTCCAGCTGAATGTAATATTTTATAAATTTGCATATTTTGTTTAAGAAATGTTATGACTTTACAGGTAGCACATAATTACACGTACCAACTCTCTCCTGAGAATAGGGACTATATGTATCCTATAATTCTTTTATATCATCTTAGGAGAGTGCTAGTACACAGTAGGTGCTTAATAAATACTTAGTAGCTTCACTACAGAGGATTCTTAGGTGCAGGGCTAATTTGATATTGTTTAGGGCTTGGAAGGTGCAGAGGGGGAGATGGGTAGCAGCAGGAATGACAAAGACACCCAAACCCCACACTGACTTTATGACTCCAGGCATAAGCACCCCCTGCAATGACACAAGGCTCCCGTTCTTCACAAGGGAAAGTTAATGACCCAGAGGATCCAGGGGTTGGTCCGCCGCTGTCAGCGAAAGCAGGCAGCACACAGGGAACAGAACCCACTGTTCCACCTGAGTCCCCGCCCAGCCTGGAGGGGGAGGATGCCTATGCCCAGCCCACTCGCCTGCCACCACCCCTCCCTGCCCAGCCCCACCAGCCTTACGTACTGGAGTTCCGGTGGGAGCTGGCCAGGCTGTGTCCCGCCATCTCCGGGGGAGGCTGGTGACCACGATGCAGGAACTGCTGGGAGCTGAGCACATGGCTGGGGTGGGCGACCCGGTTCATGCTGTGCAGGACGTTGACCTGGGCAGAGGGAGGGCTCCATGGGCACACTCGGTTGTCCCTAGGTCCTCCCACCTCTCTAGAGCCCAGCTCCATCTCCTCGCTTCTGCCCCCACTTCTCCTCCTCCTTCTCCTCCTCCTCCTCATCCTCCCCCACCCACCCGTGATGTCCGGCCCCCTCCACACTGCCATGTCCACACCCCCACTGAGCGGTTTGAGTCCACCCCACCCTGGTTCCTCGCCAGGGGCAGGTGGCTGTGCAAGGAAGGAGACTGTCTGGGTACCTCCACGATGAATTCATTGCTGGAGTAACGGCCATTCATTTCCGAGCAGGAAAGCCGGAATTTCCTGGCGTAGAGGGCAGCTCCGTGTCGCAGCCGATACCGAGCCTGCCTCAGGATCTCCTCGTACACCGTGATGCTCTCCACCCCTGGGGCCGAGGAGGCAGCTCGGTGAGGCTGGCCCAGGGCAGCAGCCTCGCCCGAACTCCCACCAGCTGACCACACAAAGCTGTGGAGTGGCTCGGCCCCACCGTCCCCAGAGCTGTGACCTGGGCTCTCCGAGGAAGGAGGTTCTCTCCACCCCACCTGCTCTGCCTGACGGGGGTGGACCCAGGCTCCCTCCCCTGCTCGCCCTTCTCTACTGGCTCTGCGGCTTCTGGGTAGGAACAGAAAGAAGGAAATAAGGACATCCTGACAGACATGGGAGGTATCAAGCAGGAGGGAAACTGAGGCAGGGAAAATACAGACATCCTGAGGGAGGCCCTGAAAGGGGCTGGAGAGAGAAGGGAACTGGTTATACCCAAAGTTTCCCTGGCATGCCAGAGAGGTGGCAAGCAGGAGGGAAACTGAGGCAGGGAAAATACAGACCTCCTGAGGGAGGCCCTGGAAGGGGCTGGAGAGAGGAAGGAACTGGTTATACCCAAAGTTTCCCTGGCATGCCAGGGAGGTGGCAAGCAGGAGGGAAACTGAGGCAGGGAAAATACAGACGTCCTGAAGGAGGCCCTGGAAGGGGCTGGAGAGAGGAGGGAACTGGTTACACCCAAAGTTTCCCTCAGGCATCCTCTGGACACTACCAAATCCTCACTGCCCAGTATTCATTAAGAAATGAGCACTCAAAGTAAAGCCGTGGTGTCACGTGAGATCAGTGAGCTGGAAGACAGAGAAGATGACCAGCCGCACAGCGAGGAGCTAGGAAGCTCATCACAGAAGATGGGCAGGAGGAGCAAAGGGAGGAGGGAAGCCTGAGGAGAAGCAGAAATGGGGCCAGGCAGAGGGAGCAGGCTATGGAGAGGAGCAGGAAGGGAAACATTTGGAGCCGGAAGCCGGGCATACCTCCCCTAGGGGCAGTCTGAAAGCCAGAGGGTCTTCCAGACAGGGAAGGTATATGACAGGCACTTGGTCACACCCCTGGGCCTAGAAGGAGGGCCGTCTGGGTTTCCCAGGTCCTTAATCACGGTGCGGGTCACACACCCAAAAGCAGGACGGGCTCTCAGGCCCCACTGACCAGCGATGGTGAGGTAGGCCGACGTGTTGGTGAGCTCCAGCCCGCGCTGCTGCAAGGATGCCATGTCCAAGAGCAGGCTTTCCCGCTCGGGGTCTAGGTCATCCCCCACCAGAGAAATTTCGCAGCCGTCCAGGTTGTGCACAATCTCATCCGACATGCGTGTGTCCGTCACTGTGTGGGGAGAGCCAGGGTCTGGTGAGAGCTGAAGGACTCACTGAGGTTCTGAGACCCATCTCCTCATGGCCATGCCTCCTCCCCTACTAGGGTCTTTCCTCAAGACAGTCAGCATCACTTTCAAGAACATCGTTATGCAACAATCCCCTTCCACCTATGGCTTCCTGCTTGCTCGGCTTCTTAAGGTCGAGTCGTTCTAGTCAAGCAAACACAGGCTGAAGCTGCTACCCACTTCCAGCCCAGGTTCCTCCCTCATTCTGGCTCCAGACATTGGCCCCATCTCTCAATGATGCCGCTCCCTGGAGTCACCCTTACCTGTGCCCTGCCAGCTCTCATCCTTTTTGGCCTCCACCTGGTGAGAAATGGAGCAAGTGATCTGAAGATCAGGGAACAAAGGGACCCCCTCGAGTCCTTCAAAGTCCACAGCCGGACGGGCAAAATGAGCAGTGCCACTCAGCAGGATCTGGGGGGCGTCAGGCTGAAGGACCACCACGTAGCCCTCCACCTCCGGGATGGAGACACAGGATTCTTCGCTGAAGCACCTGTGTGAGAAAGAAGCGAGGCCGTTCATTTCCTCAACCCCAACAGCCCGTCCCATAAATCTGTGTTCGGTTTCATGCCTCTGGGCCTCTGCCTCCACAGTAGAGCAGCCATGTCAGGGAGGGGAGGGAGGAATGAGGGTAGTGGCTCTGCACCCCAACCCCCACAGCAAATTTGCGGGGGAAGATAGCCTTTCCTGGTAGGGCTTCACTGCAGGAAAAGGTCACAGACGAAAGGTCGGGCAATCCCAACCTGTGAGAGCGATCACAGTGCCCCACCCCAGGATTATGGAACATCTAAAAATTCTATTTTAATGAAAAATAAAACAAATTGAGCTGACAAAAATGTATACACACATAGTTCTTTACTCAGGATTTTAAAAAATGCTTGGAGTCAGTACAGTATCTGACATATCTATGCCAAAAACATCCAACAACAAGCCAGGCACGGTGGCAAGATCCAGCTACTTGGGTGCTAAAGTAGGAGGATCACTTTGAGCTCAGGAGTTCAAAACCATCCTGGGCAACACAGCAAGACACCATGTCAAAATCAAAAAGATATCCAACAATAAAAGTAGGGTGAGCAGTATCTATCAAAGAATGTCCTCCTCCTAGGTGTATTTTCCAGTCCTTTCAACATCAGTGACATACACTTTGTTAGGTGAGATAATCTGACCCCCTTGGACCTAGATCCACTGTGCCATGAAGCCTGGCTGATCAGGGTGCCAAGGACAGACCATCCCTCGAAGACTCAGCCAAGTCAAACCAACAACAGCAACAATGCGCAGGACGGCACTCCCACCACCATCCCTAAGCCCTGCCCTTTGTCAATGATGACACCTAACAATCACACAGCACTTGCCAGTTTATGACGCATTTTTGCCCTTGTTATTTCATTATAACCTTATTTCAGTACTGTAGAATAGGGATAAGAAACCAAAGTTCTTCCGTGTCCTACTTTATTTGTAAAAAAAAAAAAAGAAAGAAAGAAAAGAAGAGAAGAGAAAAAGAAAAAGAAAGAAACTAAAGCTCTTAGATCAAGCCACACAAGTAATATGTCTCAGAGTTAAGACTTAAACCCACTGCCAAGACTAGAGGATCACTTGGGGCTGGGAATTGGAGACCAGCTGGGCAACATAGTGAGACCCTGTCTCTATAAAAAATTTTAAAATGAGCCAGGCATGGTGGCACATGCCTGTAGTCCCAGCTACTCAGGAGGCTGAGGCAGGGGGATTGCTTGAGCCCAGGAATTCGAGATTACAATGAGCTATGACCATTCCAGTATGGGCAACAGAGCAAGACCATCTAAAAAACACAAAAAACAAAAAGCTTAATGACTGTCAGGTGTTCTGCATTAAAAAAAAGAAGAAGAAAAAAATTGAGATGAATTTTTTTTATTTAAAAAAATAAAATAAAATAAAATAAATAAATAAAAAACTTAAACTCATTCTTCTCATTCCTAGTCCACTGATCTTTCCACCAAACCACAGCTACCATTTGGGGCCCAGGTTTGCTCCAGGGAAATTTATGTAGGAAGAAGTCCCCCTTGAACAATCTTCACATGGGAGTTGGCAATTCAGGAGCAGGACTCTGGTCCACACGCTTGTACACATTGAAATGATTTTGCTGAGTCTGTTATTATCGGCATTATTGAACATGCCCAGCTTGACGGCTGGAGCCAAAAGGGAGAAGGTGTGAGTTCCCAGGCCACATGGAGCAGCAGGGCCTGTCGCAATCTGCACTG